TATTATTATTATTATTATTATTATTATTATTATTATTATTATTATTACTTTTTTCGTAATCAGGGGATTAACTATTTTTTTTATTTTAAAGCTTTTCACGAGTTTATTATGTTTTGAATCCGAAGGATTGTGTCTCCTTTTGTTCTGGAAGATGTGATCACATGAACAGAAGTGGAATTTATTTATTATATTTATTTATTTATTTATTTATTATATTTATTTATTTATTTATTATATTTATTTATTTAAAAACGAGTCAAATAATATAATATAAACAGTTTTCTTAAATTAGCCGTCCCTGAACTGATTTTATAATTTTAAATAAGACCTGCCTCTTTTTTTTTTTTTTTAACATGCTGTTCGTTTAAAAATTAATTTTCTGATGTTGGGATTAAACGTTTCAGTCAAGGACTTGAGTATGATTTGCTCCACATCTAAAATAAAAGCCCAGAATAAGTTGAGTTCAGCTCCGCAGGTCAAACATAACCCGAGTTCATTCAAGCAGAGCCAGTTCTTGCACGCACACATTTATTATTTGATTTGATTCTTCTTGTGAAACCAGTCCACGTTGCAAATCTAATTTTTCCACTTCTGACAGACATTTTTCCCATTAATTAGAGGAACTCCTCTCTCCTCTCTCCTCACAGGAATGTCTGGGCTCGGTTCCCCCCCCCCCCACACACACACACACAGAAGACCTAAAGAAGAGTAGACTCGCCGCATAGTATTTTACCCCCCCCCCCCCCCACACACCCACCCACCGCCCGCAGCACAGCATCACCTCTGGAACACCTTCGGCCCACCACTCACGTACAGTGGAAATGTAGAGGGGCGATGGGCGCGTGCACACACATCGACTCACTAGAAACAACATGATAACAGAAAAAGACAAAAAAAAACATACAAATAAAAAAGAAGCTTTTTGGGCTGAGAGTTCATTCAGACTTGTTTAACTATCGATTGTTTCATTGCACAGATTTTCAACAAATGCCTCACGGTCACGCGCATCACCTAAATGTATGTCTAAACGCACAGTTGCGTGTCGATGCCGCCTACATGTATTTTCAAGTTTTAAGGTCAGCTTCTATAAGTAATTAAAACTCATCCAGTTTGCAAAGTTCATCATTTTATATCCTGATGCTCAATAATCCATAATCTAGTGAGGTCCTGTGGACAGATTATAAACAAACAAACAAACAACAACAAAAAAAACTGTTGAAACATTTCGTCTTTAGTTCAAAAGTCTTTTGGATTAAAGACGAAATGTTTCAACAAGTTTTTATTTTATTTTATTTGTTTTGAATCTGGTCAGAGGACCTCACTTAACTTTGTTATATTCATTATTTTATCCACATAAATTATTAAAAAATTATTAAAGCGCATTAAAACGTTACTTTGCTCATAAAAAGAAACATGCGAGAAACATTTAGAGCCTCATTTGACTCTTCAGAAATGACGCAACTTTTCTGAATACTGTCTCTTTAACACACACGCACGCACACACACACACACACACACACACACACACACACACACACACACACACACGCACACACACGCACACACACACCTCAGGTGTTTTTGTGCGCGTCATTTTCTTACTGCGCTATTATCCAGTTAAATTCGGACCCGCTGCGTGTCCCGTGCCCCCCCTCCCCAACCAACCCCTCCATCACACCGTCCTCTTGGTATCGTGCACTTGCTGCTCCATGAGACGCGGCTGCTGGAGGCTCTCACGCGCCGTCACGCGGTGTCACGCGGGCCTCATTCACCGCCTCCTTCTTTCTCTGATGGCCGCAGTGAGTCCGAGCCATTTATTTAATTTATTAAATAATTAATTACCCATAATAATAATAATAATAATAATAACAATAATAATGATAATTATTATTATTATTATTATAAGAATGACCCATAATTAGGCGTATTGATTGAGGATTCTAAGATTTTTTTTAAATGTAATATATTTAGAGTCTGATATACTCTGGACCGGCTCTTTCGTAAAAAAACGGTTTATTAAAAATAATCTCAAGTTAATTAAAAAAATTGAGATTATAATCTCCAGGGCCACAAATCCATACCTGACATCCCCCTCGTTCTTCTGCGACAAGAGGCTAATGGTTTTGATTGGAGTCAGTAAAGTTCTGCCCTCTGTCTCCTCTGAAAGGTGAAAATGAAACTTTGTTTAAGTTGACATTTAATCTTCTCCAAGTCGGAGGAGTGAGGGGAGGAAGCCTCGCGATAAAGTAGAAAGTCACCATCCAGAGTGAAACGCGATCACACCGGGGTCGAGGGGCCAAACTTTTTAAGACTAATGTTTATTTAGAGAAGTGAGCGCTGTCTATGGGACTCCCCGTCCTCCCAGAATGCACCAGTGATGCCTTTACCAGGCCGGCCTGGACCACCAGCAGCAGCTGCAGCCTCCTCAGACACTGAGGGTCCACATTCTGTACAACAATGACTTATACAGATATCATTCACCTGTTTTTATTAACAATCATCATAAAAATAATTAGATTTCTGAAACACGTTAGAGCTGATATGACTTGTTGAAACATCTATTTATTTATCTATTTATCTGAAAATCTTCATAATAAAGTGTAAAAAGTGACATGTGGGGTGCAGCAGCCTGTTTTCTTACAGTTTGTAAAATTGAATTAGACATGCTTTGGAGTCTGACCAGCACATGTTTCCCCCCCACCTCTGCAGGTTTTATGGTCCTTGGGTCATTTATTTAATTAATTAATTAATTAATTAATTTATTTTCAGCTGTGGTTGAGCGGTTAGAGCAGTCGTCCTCCAGCGGGAGAGTTGGAGGTTCGATTCCACCAGCAGTCACATGCTGAAGTGTCCCTGGGCAAGACACTGAACCCCTCACGTGTCTCATCTGAATGTGATAACGCTCTGATTATTCTTTGTAGAGATGTGGTAGAGTGCTGTATGAATGTGTGTGTGGAGGTCAATGAGGGCACAGAGTGTGTTGTAAAGATCTTGATTAGATAGAAAGGTGCTATATAAGTACAGTCCATTACCATTTTCAGCTGGAACTGCCATTAAACGTTGTGTCCAGTTTTTATCTTCACCATTTCTCCTGCCCGAGGCACCAAGCCCTTTCCCTCCACCCAGTTTAGATTCTTCAACTCTCTCCAGCAGCTCCTCTCCTAAAGATCTGAGATTCAGCAAACATGCACGCAGCAACAAACACGAAAACAGAGACCGGCTGACAATCGCACAACAGCCACATTTACTTGCACCTTCCACAGATTTATATGCATAAACTGAATATTGAAATATTTGATGGAATCGTGTGGTAAAAACAAAAAGAACTACCTTTTATAAAAATGGCTGCATAATTATTCATGGCATTATTTACGCAATCTAGAACAAAAAAAAAAAAGGTTGATAAAACCATCTGGTTTAAAATGGGCACATTCTTTTAAAGTAAAATAAACAACAACTCGTGCATTCAAACGCAGCCGTACACAAAGGTGTTTGAAAAGTCCTGCTCAGAAATGTACGATTTTATTTATTTCACTCCAAAAGCTGTTCTTAAGAATGAAGCGACAGGTTTCAGAGTTGGCTGGGTGCATTTTCCGTGCGAGCTGTTGACTGAAAGCAACCCGTGCAATCAAACACAATAAGAGTGTATAAGGCTGCTCAGTAAGAGCCCGGAGGAGCAACAACACCATCGAGTCAACAGCAATATGGTCTGCGAGCAGCCACTTCACTGGAGAGCCCCAGCCTGCAGGACACATCAAGGCTGCAGGACATATTCAGAGAAATCCAGAATATTTCCTTCCCCAAATATACTGCTGGGTACACCTTTTTAAAAATCATTTTACTTTATAATTATTGTAATTGAACAACAACTCTCTGGATGTTTCCTTTAGCCTGTAAGCATATTAAGTTTAAACACATCATTAAAGTAAACGTTCACCCAGAGCTTAATTGGTAAAATAATGGATGCTGGAACGCAAGTAGCAGGCGGGCCAGCAGGGGTTGGGGGTAGGTAGGGTCTGAGGGTCCTCCCCCAAAAAAATTTGAATAAAGTAGATGTGATTTCCTGCATTTTGGTGTATTTTAATGGGTTAAACATCTACATTTACCTACATTTGTAAACTGCTTCTGTCAACCCCCCCCCCCCCCCACTTGATGATTCTGAGCCCAACACCTCCAGGCGTCTCCTCCATCTGGGCTTCTGTCCACTTACAACTGTCTGACTAGCCGTGCACTCACCCCCACCACTCTTTTAGGGGCGGAGGTTTTTTTAATGGTAGACGTGGAAATGCTACTTGAAGGAGCAGCTCGTATGTTATGTTTAAAACCAGTGTTTATGTAAATTGGTTTCAGATTACATATAAGCTTTATTTGTTCAAGGCAGTCATATTTGTTCATATATTTAATATTAGTAACCTGGAAAGTTACTGGATCCAAGCAAACCGTTATTGGAATGCAACCTGTCAAAATAAGAGTTCCCGGGTCCTGCTCCGACAGGATCCAACTCAAATTAAGCGCTGCTTTCACCCAGGGCGGCTGTGGATAAGTGGTTAGAGCAGTCGTCCTCCAATGCAAGAGTTGACGGTTCGATTCCACTAGCAGTCACATGCCGAAGTGTCCCTGACAGCAAACCCCTCATAGCCTCTGATGTGTGTCCCATCAGTGTATGAATGTGATAAAGCTCTGATTCAGATTAGCTTTGTACAGATCTAGAGTGCTGTATGAATGTGTAAACGAGGCAAAGATTGTGGTGTAAAGTGTTTTGTGTATCTTGATAAGATAGAAAGGTGAAATATAAGTACAGTCCCGATGCATGCTCAATAATCCAGGTAGAAAAATCTAAAAAAGTTCAATCTGGTCCTCTGGAAATTCAAAAAAACAAAACAAAGCAAAAAAAAATGTAGATACGTGTTGTCTTTCATCCAAACGACTTCCTCAGTCTTCCTCAGACTGAGGAAGTCTTTCGGATGAAAGATGAAACGTTTTTACTTTTTTTTTTTTTGGAATGTCCAGAGGACCAAATTGAACTTTTTTAGATAAGTACAGTCCATTTACCCTTATATACAAAGACAAAACAAAAAGCTTACAACAATTTTAATGATTATATTATTCTAAGCTGCTTTCTTTGGTGATTAAAAAAAATAAATCTTCATCTCTGCACATCAAATGCTTTGAAAAGCATTAAATGTTGTTTTCTTGTATTCATGTATGTGAAATTGCATCATTACTTATTTTATAACAATTAACATTATATATATATATATATATATATATAAAAATCTATCTATCTATCTATCTATCTATCTATCTATCTATCTATCTATCTATCTATCTATCTATCTATCTATCTATCTATCTATCTCTCTATCTATCTATCTATCTAT